ATCCTTTAGGCTTGTATACTAATTAAGGAAATTACGTAAGAGGGTTTGGACATCAAAACACAAGTTTTTAGTGCACAAAAGAGGGTTTACGGCCCAAGCACATGCTTAGGCCGTAAACACCCATTTTCCATGAGAAATGGCCCCAAAAACTCATCCAAGGCATGTTAGAATTTAGATATGGATTTAGGAAATGCTTAGGGCCATTAAACAACACATTTTGAGGGAGTATATAGAGTTTACGGCCCAAGCATAAGCTAGGACTGTAAAATCCCCCAAACAACACTAAATGAAGGTTTAAAACCCCCAAATTGGTCCTAGACACTCACTAGAAAATATAGGGGATTGATTTAGGGCCTTAGCATCCATTTTTGGGAGAGAAAAAGAGTTCACGGCCAAGCCTAGGGGCTTACGGCTGTAAACTCCCAAGGAGTGGCCTCTGGGCCGTAAACTCCAAGGGAGTAAACTCTCGGACTCCCCCGTAACCCCTTTTTGGCCTTGTACAATCCCCGAGAACCACTTCTAAGCCCTAAGACCTCACATCAATGCTAGAGTATCTAAATGTTTTAATAAAAAGCATAAAATGGCTAATTTCTTGTAAAACACATATTCCATATGTTAATAGGGTGTTAAAAGGTGTACAAGTCCTTATTTGGCACCCAACGCTCAATTGACACTTTCACCCGATTTACCCGATTTACTCGGTTTCACGTGAGTTCATACCCCTTTAATGAACCTTTCAAATATTTTTATATGTTTTAAGGGGGGGGGGATACAAGTCAATTATATATGTCTACGGAAATTAATCATATGTGATTCACTATCCGTAGTTCAAATCACATGTGATCTACCACTATGACTTATAAAGGAATTTTGCGTTTTCAAAACTATTTTGGATAAATAAACAATTTTCTAAATGTTCCCTTTGGACAAGATTTTTTTTATTAAATAGATTTTCTTATAAAATGTAACCACACTAATATATTTATATAAGTAAGACTTGAAGGACTTAGGACCGATGGCTCGCCTTATTTCCTGTTCTTTTTTGATTGCGGGCTTAGGGTAGTTGTTATCCGTTCGACTGTCGTTGATTTCTTAGTTATATAACATGTATATTAGTGTTGGATACGAGTATTTTCATTCCATTTGATGCCTAAACCACTAAATTGACAAGAACCATACACACTAAGTTAACTATAATAGGTATAGTTAAGGCCACTACTACTCACTACTGCTACTACTTTACACACTATAATACACACTATTACGAGTCAATATATGAATAAGAGAGCACACTATGAACTAGATGAAAGTCTACTACACTATAATACAAGATAAATCACTAATTCAGAAGATACACACTAACTCATTACAAGATACACTATTCGCTACATACTATGCCCAAAGTTTTCTGACAGGAAGACGACACTACATGTATAGATCTATACGGGGCAGACACTATTACATCCCGACTGTTAACTTCAGTCCGCGCCGTGCAAGCCCAGGGATGACACTACTTCACTACACTGTGCATGACCGGGATGGTCATGGAGTTCTCTATTACACTCACTATCGGTCGCATACAAGGAAACACACTATATCCATACTAAAATACTAAGCTAAAGTATGAATTAATATCCTGAAGTAAATTACTAAAACACTCTTACAATAAACGGTTTTCATTAATGAAACTTACTTGCAACTTGAAGATTTTCACTCACGATGTATTTTTTGGAAAATATAGGATTTTCTAGGGCTTTTCTACTACTTTCAAACTGTAAATCGCAGCTTACATACTATATGTTCTAATGCATTTTATACAAAAATTCACACTAAACTCTTATGAACTCACCAGCTTTATGCTGATATTCGTTTTCAAAATAACTTGTATCCTCAGGTCAAAGATAGACAGGTACAGGTGCAACATTTTTTGGAGAAGATGGAGCATACAAGATCCATCTCTTATTTTTGTATTACTTTTGGTGTCGATAGAAACTTTACATAACACACTTGTAATTAAAATTCACTATGTATTGAAATGGTTGTATGTTTCTTGTTTTTACTATTACGCAATTGTGATGATACTGTACATGACGTCCTCCACCCTGAAACGTATTCCGCCGTTAACGGTTTTGGGGTGTGACATAAACTCCCATAAACTATGCAATTTCAGCCTTTAACCCCCTATTTAGCCTTGTACCTTCACATAGAAACTTATAGGAGTAAGCTAAGGACCTCAAAAACGAGGTATAAGGGGTGTCGAAGAGTTCACGACCGTAAACCATGGGTTTCACGACCGTAAACTCCCAAGGACTGGTCCTAGGACCGCAAACTCCAAGGTAGTGCCTCTTTTGAACCCAAAACACCCCTCAAGCCTTGGAATTTGCCTTGGAATCCTTCCTAGAGACACAAGAGACTTGAACACAGACAAATACACTCCTCCCATGAGTTTACGACTGCAAAATCATGGGGGAGGTGGTTCCTCAACCGTAAACTCACCCAAGGTGAGTTTGTGAGGAGTAAACTCCATAGTGAGGCCTAAAACTCTTCCTTGCAACCCAATAGCCTTCTAGCACTTAACTACAGAGCTTTTCTTCACATTAGAATGTATATATGTGTTTAATTAGTGTCTTAATCACTAATTACTTATAAACATATGTCTTCATATGTTACTAGGGTCATAGAGTGTGTACAAGTCTTTACTTGGCACCAAACGCTCGTCCGACACTTCCACCCGATCTACTCGGTACAGGTGAGTTCATACCCCTTAATTAACCTTTTTAAATGTTTTTACATGTTTTAGGGGGGGAGGGGGTGTGAATACATGTAAATGCAACAAGTTCTAGTTCCTAATCATATGTGATTTATAACTTACAACCAAAAAGGATTTTCTATACTTTTAGCTATTTGTCAATAAAACTGTTTTAAATATTTATCAAACGCATTTTCTAAGTTAAATTGTTGTTAAAATATTTTCAAACTGTGTTTAAACCACTTTTCTTTTGAATTATATTGACATGAATATATTTATATAAATAAGACTTGAAGGACTTAGGACCAATTGCTCACCTTATTTCCTGTTCTTGTTTGATTGTGGTCTTAGGGTATATTGTTATCCGTCCGACTGTCGTTGATTTCTTAGTTATATATCATATATATCGGTGTTAGATATGAAAGTTTTCTTCTTATTCAATACCTTTGTAAATCAAAGGCATGCGACTCCACACTCTATTTAACTATAATAGGTATAGTTAATACTACTGCTCGTTACCTCTATCACTATGATACCCGCTATAATTATTACTATCATGAGTTAAGACTCGTTTAAGAGAACACTCTCTATAGTATACTAAAAGTCACTATACTATAATACAAGAGAATACACTAATCCAAAATATAACACACCATCCCTCTATATGACACTCTACTGCGTAAATATCATGTAACCAGGGCTTCCAGGAAGGAAAGCAACACTACATGTATAGATCTATATAGGACGAATGCTATTATATCCCGATTGTTAATTACAGTCCGAGCCGACTAGGCCCAGGGATGGCACGACATCACTACACTACGAATGACCGAGAAGGTCATCGAGCACTCTACAATCACTCAGTTTGGTTACATTAGAAATCACATCCAATATCCAAATTTACACACTAAGACTTAAAGCCTAAGTTAATTTCCCGAAGTAAATAAATATATATTGAAGTTTGCAACACTACTACAGTCAGCTACCAATACTTTTACTCATCTACGTTACTCGTATGAAATTTATTACCTTATTTTATCACTGAAAGTTTCAATGAAAATACTGCTACATACTCAAAGGATTTAACTTACAAATATACAATTCTGGAAAATATAGGATTTTTCTAGGGATTTCTACTACTCTCAACATTTATTTCAGCTTTTATATTACATGACTTTAAACACTTTTATACAAGAAATGACACGAAAATCTTATAAACTCACCAGCTTTATGCTTATACTCGTTTTCAAAATAACTTGTATCATCAGGTCAAAGATAGACAGGTACTGGTGCAGGTTTTGAGAAGATGGAGCATATACAAGACCCATCTTTTATTTTTGTTATACTTTTGGTGCATATTAATTGTACAGAACACGTTTGTATTCACAATTACTATATTAATGCAATGGTTGTTGTCACTTGTTTTTACTATTATTCAATTGTTGTCACTTGTTTTTACTATTATTCAACTGTTATGATACTGTACATGACGTCCTCTACTCCAGAACATATTCCGCGGTTCTCGGTTTTAGGGTGTGACAGCAATTCACCACTGAAAAATACCATGAAGACTCCAAAAGACTAATATACAAGTCCTCTTCCTTTATCAATTGTTCCTATCGACAGTGTTGATGTTGCTGTCCACGCAAGAGAATTAAGGCCAAGAAATAAGCCCCCTATACTATGTTCTCCGTTCATCATACGTGCAGTTGATATAACCAAACATATAACACGTTCTCAGAAGGACATATCTGATTGGGTTTTCTCTACACAAGGTCAACCGAGGTATATAAAAATTTCTACATAACTGATAAAAAAAGTAGTTATGTAAACATTATTTAACTTTTGACATTTTATTTTATGCAGTGATGAACTTTTTCGTACTTGTGCTGGTGTAGCTGCTGAACGCTTTCACATGGAAAGTTTTTTTCCCCAAATGTGAACTGTTTGGACATGTACTTGATTGTTGGAGTCATCTGTTAAATTTTTATGAAGATTTGCGTTCCAATTTGTCTCCTCTTATTTGTGATTTCTACGAATGGAAAGCCAAGATCAGAATCTTCCTGAATGAAGCATCCGGGAAATATGGATGTGGCAGTTCTACTGATGCAAGCAACATTGGACCTTTATCCCAATGGTGGTCAGACAACGCAGAACAAATTAATAGGTCATGTCAAATGGCTGAAACTGGAGCATCGGATTGACATAAGAATTTGCTAATATCATTAGCAACTCACCACTGAAAAATACCATGAACACTCCAAAAGACCAATATACAAGTCCTATTCCTTTATCAATTGTTCCTATCGACAGTGTTGATGTTGCTGTCCGCGCTAGAGAGTTAAGGCCAAGAAATAAGCCCCCTATACTACGTTCTCCATTCATCGTACGTGCAGTTGATATAACCAAACGTATAACACGTTCTCAGAAGGACATATCTGATTGGGTTTTCTCTACACAAGGTCATCCGAGATATATAAAAATTTCTACATAACTGATAAAAAAAGTAGTTATATAAACATTATTTAACTTTTGACATTTTATTTTATGAAGTGATTAACTTTTCCGTACTTGTGCTAGTGTAGCTGCTGAACGCTTTCACATGGAAAGTTTTTTCCCCAAATGTGAACTGTTTGGACATGTACTTGATTTCTGGAGTCATCTGTTAAATTTCGATGAAGATTTGCATTCCAATTTGTCTCCTCGCAGACTATTTGCCAATACCACCTTGACGGTAAACTCTTAATAAACAATTGCATTCATTAATGATGTTTATCATAACAATCTCCTTACCTAGCACATATGTGACTGCCACATTTCCAAATTCCATCTATAACTTGATCTTCCTATTACATTATTCACATTCATTATTAACAAACTCTAACATTACATTATATATATCTTCTTAACAGCGTTTGTATCTCGAAAATACTGCGCTGACAGAGGAAGATCATCAGAAAATCTTTCATGAAAATTTTACCATATCCATTGATGATTTTGATGCAACACTTCGCGATGTCCACTCAGTATTCTTCTATATCCATGTTTTGATAATTAATCATTGTTTTTAATACTTGTTTTGATATTCATGTAAGCTATAGTTGATGGATTGACAAGACCAACACTAAACTATTTTAAATCATACACTTAATATTTGTTTAAGCTATTCCTGCCAATCGTCCGTGAATTTCGTATTTTCCTTGTCGTGCTCGACTTTCATCAACCAGCCTTTTGGATAATCGACAACATCAAAAGAGATGAAGACACCCACGACACATATGGTCTACTACCAGATATCATTGTAAGATACAAATACAGATTGGTATTATTATATATATATATATATATATATATATATATATATATATATATATATATATAAATCCATTTTTTAAACATTTATTCCTATATCATTTACAACAATCATAGATGAGTGACTATTTACGGTCTGTTCACCATCTAAACGCTGAAGCCTTTTCACATGCTCCAAAACAAATCCCACAGTTATCTTGGTCAATAGTAAACAACAACAGTGACTGTGGTATTTTTACAATGCATCACATGGAGACATTCATGGGTGGAAACATTAGAGATTTCAAAACTGGCTTCAAGTCAGAGTCGCTTGCATAAGACAACCAGTTATCTAGACTACGGGTCATATATATTTGCAAAATAATTAATTCTGACTATAACCTTCTGAAGCATTCAATCCTTCATCAGTTAGCGGAATTCCAAAAGCTGTCTGCACCTAACCGACAACAAATATTGAAAGATGCTGCAACCAGGATACATGACAGGCTGATTGAATTTGGTTAAAGAATGTTGTGTTAAAAAGTCTTTTTTTTTTTATTTTCTAGGAAGAATATGATGTTACTTACTTTTACTCTATTATGTAGATGGCTCAAAACAACTTAACTATCTATCTTTTGCGTTTTGATTATGTACTTCCTTTTGTCTCCATATTATATGAAAATGTCTTTTCTTACTCTTACATGTGTGTCTATTGTGGTTATTGTTAATCACAACTGATCAATGATACCTTTGTATACATGTCCTTTATGTTACTCAACGGATCTGTATGAACATGTCTCTCCAACCAGATATCCTAAACTTTTAGACCTTGACATCCCAGGATACACGGGTGGTATGAATTTGTTACATTTGATTTAATTACTAACAAACCCGCTTCATTTTGTAATAAGAACATCATAAATGTTGTGCATACTCAACTACTACAACACTAGACATGTACCCTGCACAACCTTTTCCTTTTTTTAGTTTAGTCCACTAAAACATACATAACTCTTAACATTTTATAAGATCACATACCCAAACAACAAAAACCTTACAAGCATCATACCATATCTTCATACATTTTACACATACATAATCCACACACCCATCACCATCTACATAAATTACATGCCATTATACAATCGACACATACATCAATAGCATCATACTATATCTAATAAATTGCACCAAAAATTTATCCGATAAAGAAACTAAATCAACAAACAAAACAAAATGATATTATTCAATATAAAAAAATCCAAATGCAGATGTGCAAACATACGTCATTTAGTTTTCAATGATGAACCAAAACTTTAGTAAACTAACACTTAATCTAACTACCACCGGACATCTCACGCGCAATTCTTACTTTGCAAGTCCTCCAATTATGATTCACATATAAATTGCATCCTGTGAACCTTCGTGAACCACTTTTTGAAGATGTAGCTGCCCTCTCCGATGCACTAATCATCCGTTTCTTAGTCCCACTCTCTTTATTATGTATCATTGGTGGGACATTAATGTCAATGTATTCTGGAATACTAACCCTAAATAGCCTAAACACAGCTTCATCACTTTCATCCAATGCAACATTATTGATCGGATCTCGCTCCATCACACTCCTCATCATGCATGTTGTCTTCACAAAATCTTCTAATTTTTGTTTATCATTCTTAAGACGCTCCGGACAGTACTCCATGTTACTATATGCTTCGGTTAACAAATTAAAAGTTTCATCTTCCATTCCAGCAAGCCCATTCTTACTAACCAACAAACGGATAGAAATAATATCCTTTCTCCACCTACGCAAAATATATTGGTCAGGTATCTCCTCAATGTGATTATTCTTCAGCACTGCAAACACATGCCGACACAAAATGCTCATTCGCTTAAAGAGGTCGCATATACATTTCACTTCCTTTTCTGGCAACTTCAGTTCCACCTACATGAAGATTTTAATCCTTACTTTAGCAACATTATTTTTTTACCAATAAAAAAAATTCCTTGTTTATACTTTTACCAGCATTACTGATGCATGTACTTTCAGATTAATTTTATGAACTAACCTTACACTTTTTCTTCACATTTCTTCTTGTGTCCAAATGTGTAATCTGATGAGAATTGTTATCGAGTATTTTGAAAAGAAAAGATAGATTTGAACGATTAAAGATGAGGAACACAATGAGTAAATATTAATCAGATCTCATATTGATTAAGACTGATTACAAAATAAGCAGAAGAGAGTTCTATCATTCGTTCTTCTACTTCTAGCCTAAGTCCCTATTTATAGGGAACAGACAAAACATATACTAAGTCTATACATTTTCACTTCACACAAAAAATGACTTAGTAAAATAACACAAAATGCGAAACAACACAAAACACTCTATTCGACTTTTTACAATGTACATCAACATTCTCCCCCTTTGTAAACAGTCGATACAATTCAACTTAAAAGCTTTTGAATTGCAGAGTGAATTGTCTTTCGCACTTCTCCATACCAGGAGATCACCTTCTTCAAATCTTTCTTGTCTCCTTCGTTATTCTTCTTGCAATTATTCATACGTACTATAAAGTGAGTGTATTGCAAAGAATTATATCTTTCAATCTCTGAGACTTTGAACAAAAATTTCTTCGGATTTCCTTTTGTATCTCTGCCAGAAAACACCATGCCAAAAGGTTTCAGGCAGATTTCACCAACACCATACTTTGATAAAGAAGATTGAGTCAAAGTCTCCTCCCATGGAACTTTCACTTCCCTTCCCAGCACATTTGCTAATTCATCATCTGTAAGAGCTAGACAATCAAAATAGTTATTGATGAAAGTCTTCACATGTGCGAAGCCAACCTTGAATACTTCTGTATCAGAGCCTTTAAGATTGTTTTCTTCCATATGCTTCAGGATCAGTGCTACTTGAATTAAATCATTGCAGTTCATCAATGGAAAGTCAGCAACTGTGAAGTCATATTGTTTGTTGTCTGCTCTGATAACAAAATATCAAAAATTTTGAAGCATGTCTTCAAAGAAAATATCCTTCTTTATTGTCACCACCTTTTTGATTTTCATCAAGGACCAAACTTCATCTGGATTCTTCCCCAAGACTGCATGAAATTTGATTTTCATTTGAGTATAATCATTCGGATTATCAAAATTTTCACTGATCTTGTATTGAGCATTGATGAATAACATTTCATTTATAGGGAAATCCAATTGACAATGATCTGAGTTCGCAATATCATAACTTCTTTTTGGCTTCTTCTCGAACTCATACGTCTCCCTACACACAACTTTTGACTTTATTGTTTCATAAGAGTAAAGTTTTGCAGGATCGCCTTTGTTCATGGAGGGAGGATAACTTGCCCTTTGTCTCATTATACTCTGAACTTGTCTCATCCTCTCCATTTCAGCCTCAGCCTCAGCTTTCAATTCCTCTTTTGATTTTTCATATAATATTCCTTTTCCTCTTCCTACAACATCTTTTTGAGGTTTTGAGCTTGAACCTCCTTCATTTCTTCCAATAACAATACCTTTGGTAATTGTTTTTGTGGTAATTGTTGTTGCAGAAATCGGTTTCAAAGGAATTGGAAGAGTAGCTACAAGTTGAGTTGATATCACTTTTCCAACAGTTTTCGCATCCTCTTCTTTACTTCGACATTCCTCTCCCCCTTGCACCCCTGTGGAAACAGGCGGAGCACTCTTCGGTAGTAAAGAAGTGAAATTTATAAGTGGGGCAAGAGCTTTGTGAATAGCTTGTTCTAAAGTATTAATCTTTAGAGACAAGAATTCAGGAGTAATGATTTGAGTGGATGAAGAATGCGAAACTGCTGTTTTAAGATCAGTGACTAACTGTATTAGCTGATCAAACTTCATCATTGTTTCGACTTTATGATTTTCAAGAACAGGAATATCATGGAGCTTTTGAAGTTGAGATGAAATGTCCACAATTTGCTTTTGAACTTCTTCTGTTTCATGTGAACATCCTGAAGATCCTTCGCAAGGTCAGACTTCAACTCCTAAATTTTGAAGTTAACATCCTCACGAACTTTCTTGACATCTTGTACAAAAAGAACATGATGTTCTTTTGTAACAACTCTAAGATCTTGAACAACAGAAGTAAAATTACTCCCTTATGATGTAATTCGGAGCTCATTATTTTTATCGGATTGAGCAATCTTTTCCATGATTCTTTTCTCAGCTCCTTTGATCATAATATCAACCTCCATGGCAGATATTGAAGACATTCTACCAGAATCAGCTTGTGATTGAATAATGGTCTTTAACTTCTGATTCAGAATTTTAAACTATTTTCCTGTCATCAGCATATGATCAGGAATATCTTCTTCATCTGAATCAAAAGGAATATCATCAAGTATCCCACCAAAGGCACCTCCTTTGACTTCAGTATCAGACAATGGTTGCGAAGGTTGAGGATTTTCGGGTGATTGAGAAGGAAAAAGTGTTGTGAATGGGTTTTGAAGGCCATGAGCAAAGATGGATGAAGTGGTGGATAAAGTTGTAACTGGTAATGAAATGGGTAAAGATGTTTGGATTGATGGTGCAACACTCAGGATAGGTGCCCCCGTATCAGATACGTTGACAACCATATCGGAAATAGGTACCTCCTCATAAACTGATTTGGTGTGAACTATTTCAAGTGGTTTGGTTTGTGGAATAGTGGTAGAAATTTGCGAAGTATGAATTATGGGTAAAGAAACAGTTACCATAGTTGTGACTGGTGGAGTTTCTGGAACTATTTCTTCATCAGATGATTCCTTGCGAATCACCATCTTCCTTCTTTTGACCATCGTTCGATGCATATTTTTCGCAACGTCTTCAGCTCGTTGTCTTTTCTTTCCTGGAGATACTGGTGCATGAATATTGTGAATAGTAACACCTTTACTATTCACTTCAGCTTTGCGAATTTGCTTCAGTACCCCAGACTTAGAAGGTAAGAGTTCCTTCTTCGATTTCTTTGAAGTTTCTTCGGTTGGAATGACTTCATCTGGTACGGTTGGTGAGGATGAACCCTTCGCACTTTTCATGTGAACCTTCCTTGTCTTTGATGGAGTAGCAACATCTGGTAAGACTCCATTTTGATCAGCTGTATTAATAGTTCGCAAATTCTCACCAAAACTTTGTGAGTTGGAGAAACTTTGCGAAGCATCGCATCTGGAATACGAGCCACATGAGAAAATATTGCTTCATCATCTTCTACAGTTTTTGGAAATTGATAGAAAGAAAATTCAGCAACTTCAACATTTGTCAGCATTGGAATGTCTTCTTTCTCATACACTTTTTCAAGAATTAAGCTCCAATATCTTGCACAAGAAATTCC